TGTAGTTTTTTTTTTTTTTAATGTGGATATATTGCATACTGGTGAAGTCTGGGCTTTTAGTGTAACCATCATCTAAATAATATACATTGCACCTACTAAGTAATTTCTCATCCCTCACCCCTCTCCCACCCTTCTGAGTCTCCAATTTGCAACTGGAGATTGTACAGTTTTTTTGTGCAATTTTTTTTGAGGCAGAGTTTTATTCTTGTCTCCCAGGCTGGAGTGCAATGTCGAGATTTCAGCTCAATGTAACCTCCACCTTCCTGATTCAGATGATTCTCCTGCCTCAGCCTCTGAGTAGCTGGGATTGCAGGAAGCTGCCACCGTGTTCAACTAATTTTTGTATTTTTTTTTTTTTTTAGTACAGATGAGGTTTCACCATGTTGGCCAGGCTGGTCTTGAACTCCTGACCTCAGGTGATCCACCTGCCTCAGGCTCCAAAGTGCTGTGCAATATTTTTAACAATGAAGAAGTCTTTCTTCCATTTGAGTCACAGTCTGTCTCCTGTGACTACCAGGCACTGATTTCTGTGTCAGTCACTACACCTTGCCTGTGTGTATGTGCATGCACAATCTTAGTAGCCACCAAAATGTAAAGTGAGTGTATCCCTCGACCCTGCAGTCCCAATTCTGGAAATCTGTCCTGCAGAGCATGTAAAAATAAGTGTATAAAATACAGTGTCCAAGGACGAGGAGTTGTATCGGTACTTTCTCTGGTACTGGAATTGTTCAACCTAAACTGAGTGACCATTGAAGGGGTGCTGTAGATGGAACCTGGCAACAAGTGAGAGCAAGACCTAGACTAAGGCCGGATGCAGTGGCTCATGCCTGTAATCCCAGAGCTTTGGGAGGCTAAGGTGGGTGGATCGCCTCAGGTCAGGAGTTTGAGACCAGCCTGGCCAACATGGTAAAACCCCCGTCTTTACTAAATATACAAAAAAAATTAGCCAGGCGTGGTGGCAAGTGCCTGTAGTTCCAGCTACTTGAGAAGCTGAGGCAGGGGAAAATCCCTTGAACCTGGGAGGCAGAGATTATAGTGAGCCGAGATAGTGCCACTGCATTCCAGCCTGGGTGACAGAGCAAGACTCCCTCTCAGAAAACAAAACAAAACAAAAAACTTAGACTTGATGATTTTAGAGCTTCTTCTTCTTCTTCTCCTTTTTTTTTTTTTTTTTTGAGACAGTGTCTTGCTCTGTTGCCCAGGCTGGAGTACTGTGGCGCAATCTTGGCTCACTGCAGCCTCTGCCTTCTGAGTTCAAGTGATACTCCTGCCTCAGCCTACTGAGTAGCTGGGATTACGGGTGTGCGCCACTCTGTCTGGCTAATTTTTTGTATTTTTAGTAGAGTTGGGGTTTTGCTATGTTGGCAAGGCTGGTCTCAAACTCCTGGCCTCAAGTGATCCACCGTCCTCAGCCTCCCAAAGTGTTGAGATTACAGGCGTGAGCCACCACATTCGATCCAGGTTCTTCTAATCATAAACCCTTGAATTGTTCCGCTCCAGGATAAGAAAGCAGCAGACAGTTCTGAACTCTCTTTCAGTCACCTCCATCTCACCTGTTTCTCCTCCCCTTGGTACAGGCTGCAGAGCACCACAGAAAAGGGAATCAGAGTGAGACTGGGTTTCACAAGCCTTGTGATGTATCTGCAGCCACCTCTTCTGCTTATGCTGGGGGAGAGGGAATCCAACATGCCTCCCATGGAATGGCTAGGGCGGCTTCTCTAGACACAAGCACTGCAGGGGCTGCTGAAGGAGCAGCAGCAAAGACAGCAGGTGGCGTGGCAGGAGCGGCAACAGGCCCCAGAGCAGGTGTGGCAATAGCAGGGGCAGCAATGAGTCCTGCAACAGGCGCTGTGAGCATAGCAGCAACCAAACCTGCAGGCCCAGGCCAGGTGATCACAACGCTCGTGGGAGCAGCCATCAAAAATCCAGGAGAAAATGAATCCAGCAAGTCCATGGCAGGTGCTGCCAACATATCCTCAGATAGTGTTGACTTCGCCTTGGTGGGTGCTGCAAGCACCTCCTCGGCAGGTACTTCCACCACGATGGCGGGGGCCGCCAGTCTCTCCCAAGACAGCAGCTTGAGTACGGCATTTGCAGGCAGTATGACAACAGGCAAGTGTGTGGCAGAAAGAAATCAAGGACCAGCATTGGGACCCCTCGTGTCCACCTTGCAAAGCGAAGGCTACATGAGTGAACGCGATGGAAGCCAGAAGGTTTCCCAGCCCAGTGCTGAAGCCTGGAATGAAAAAAAGGAAAGAAGAGAAAAGAAGGACAAACGTCCCAGTAGGAAAAGTTCCCATCACCGCAAGGCAGGTGAAAGTCACCGCAAGGCGGGTGAAAGTCACGGCAAGGCAGGTGAAAGTCACGGCAGGACAGCAGGAGACAAGACCCAGAAAGCATCCTCCCACCGGTCTACATCTGGCCATAAAAACACGAGAGATGACAAAAAAGAAAAAGGGCGCAGCAAGGTAAGGGGCAAGGGACGTGGTTCCTCTCGCAAGAGCTCCAGCCACAGTTCCACCAAAAAGGAGTTGAGAACAACTCACAAATTGGGGAAGAACCGATCTGCATCTAGTACAGGAGCTTTAAGTAAGAAAGCCAGTAAAATCAGCTCTTTTTTAAGGAGCCTCAGGGCCACTGCTGGTTCAAAAACAAGAGTCACATCACACGACAGAGAGGTAGACATCGTGGCTAAGATGGTGGAGAAGCAAAACATAGAGGCCAAAGTGGAGAAAGCCCAGGAGCTGGAGGTGATCAGTGGCACTATGACATCCGAGATGACGGAGATGATCATCTTTGAAACCAAATCCATTTAAGGAGAAGCCAGGGCTACAACTACCCAGGGATCTGGGAAGTATCCCTAGAGAGCCCATCCCAGCTTTCTTTACTGGAGTTTAAATAATAAAGGAAATCATACAACCCCTAAATAAATAAAATCTCCTGTTTGAATTTTTTCTGCCCCATAGCCTGGCAGTGACTTCATAGTGGCTTCTGTGACGGTGACCACATTACAGCTTGAGACCCCAGCCTCCAGGCAGGTAGAGCCCCACCACCCACCCAGGCCCAGCAGAGCCAATGTGAGTGTTTTGCTTTGCCTCAACCTCTTTCTGCCTTTGCTTCCCCCAGACTGTCAAAGTCACAGATTAAGAGCTGGGTGCACCACCACCACGTCCCCATGCCCATTCTCTTTTCCCTGAATGCTCCTGAACATGGACATTCAGTCCAGTCCACAGACCAGGCAGAGACAGGATTCACATCCCCTCAGGGGATATTCAGGGGAGGAAGGAGCAGTGTGACAGCATTTGTAGGCAATTAGAATAGGAAATCTATGCATCTAGATTGGGAATTGGCAAACCATATTCTGAGGTCCAAATCTTGCCAGCTGCCTGGATTTGTAAATAAAGTTTTACTGGAACATAGCCAGAGCCATTCCTTTGCATATTGTCTATGGCTGCTTTCATGCTAAAATGACAGACGTGAGTAGTTGCAATGGAGACTATATGGCCCGCAGAGTCTAAAATATTATCTGGGCCTTCACAGAAAATGTGTGCTGACTCTTGATCTAGTCTTAACAAGTCTTCCTCCTAGGTGTAGCCAGTAGAGAAATTCTCACATATGCTTGCCAGTAGACAACTAGGAGAATGTTTATAGTAAAACAAATTATAATAGCAAAACCCTGGAAATCCTCAAGTGTTCATCAAACAGGAGAATTAATAAATTATGAAATAAACTACAGTACATAATCTACAACAGTGAAAATGAATAGCAGCTGTTAGAAAGGATACATTTTTTTTTTTTTTTCGAGATGGAGTCTCGGTATGTCGCCCAGGCTGAAGTGCAGTGAGGTGATCTTGATTCACTGTAACCTTGGCCTCCCAGGCTCCAGCAATTCTCGTGCCTCAGCTCACAAGTAGCTGGGATTACGGGCATGTGCCACCATGCCCAGCTAATTTTGTGTATTTTTAGTAGAGACAAGGTTTTGCCATGTTGGCCCCGCTGGTCTCAAATTCCTGACCTCAAGCAGTCCACCCTCCTTGGCCTCCCAAAGTGCTGGGATTACAGGCGTGAGCTACTGTGCCCAGCTAGCATGGATAAATCTTACATAATGTGGGATACTAAAAGTAAGTCACAAAAATATATATGATATAGTTCAATTTGTAGAACAGCTGAAAAATAAGATTCAACTATGGGATATATATTTGCTTAAAGTATAGAGAAAAACAAGGGAATGATAATCACAAAATTCAGGATATGAATGAAAAAAAGGAAAGAAGAGAAAGGGTAAAGGGAGAGATGTCTGATCTGGGAGGCACACACAAAGAGTTTCAACAGAATCGTGATTATTCCATTTCTTAAACAAGAGGGTGTATTCATGGAGGTTTGTTATTGTATCTTTATTTTAACATCTCTGAAATCAGGATTGTTTTTAAATCACTGCCAGCAAAGTGTCAATTGTATGTCACTGTTAATGCCTTAGAAATGCCCTATCCAATTTATTTCACCAATGTTTTCATTTTTACACACACACAAGAGATTTATGACAAAATATCTAAGTCTGAAAGACATCTTCCAATAGATACGAAACAAAAATTCTAAGTAACATAAAACTATTCAGAATATAGAAACATGGAAAATGTTTAAATGTATTAAGAAATAAAATAATCCAAAACGCTGTGTACTAATATGATGTAAATTATGTGTTCATGTGGAAGTTAATCCCTAGAATTAAAAAATCACGGGATAAGAAATGGGATTGTAAATTTTAAAAACTTTTGTGAAAAAAATTGTCTTTCCATTAAAAAAAAACTGTAAAATGAATTCATGAAAAACATTACATTATTAACATCAGATCATAAAAGTTGGATTTGAGAAAAATGATTCTGGGAGCCATGTGAGTTCATGTAAGTCCAGGAGGGGAGCAGCTGCCCAGCCTTTTGAGTCTTTGCTCATTCTCTGTAGCAGTACCTTGGAGGACAGAAGTTGAGTTTCCAGCAAAACTTAGAGACTTTCTCTGAAGACCAAATATGTGTAGTGCAGATGGAGCAGGTGAGCAGCAAGGTATTCTGGGAGGAGTAGTGGCTTGTCAGTATCAGGGGAATCCCTTCTCAGTTGCTCTTGTGGGCGGCTGGAAAATCTCACCTTGTGACTTTCGATAAAGACCATAGAAGCTGAGAGTAAGATGTTCTGGGAGTTGACTCTTGAAACAGTGGGTAGTTAGACGGAGAGAGAGAGGCACACACTCAAAAGTCTGAGAGGGCCTTTGGAAAAGCCACCCAGGAGTGTGACAGGTTGGCAGGTGGGGTAGAGGAGAGAGATAAAATGGAACTCCTGTCAAAGCCTTTGGTCTGGAGTTTCAGATTTACAGCTATGCGAGAGTCTGACTTATCCTAGCTACAAATGGCTTAATCTCATAATTGTGTAGACTATGGCTTTATCTTTTGTTTTTCTTCTAGTCTTGTTTTACGCACCCTCCCCTATCTGAAGGGTTTCTTCCGCATGAACATAGTTTGTCCACCATACAGGGTGTTAGCTGAGCAGAACTCCAATGTACACAAATGCAACTTAAGTAAAGTAGAGGTGGGGACTTGCCCACCACAGCATGCTCTGCCATGTACTTTCTCTGCAATTCCTTTTCTATCTTGATATTTCATCAAGAGAAAGATGCATAAATACCTACGTATTTCAAAGCAACAGGCCTCTTCCTCAGAGGGAGATATCAATTCAGGCATCAAGTCAATACCCCTATCAGATAAAAGACTATTTTTAACAGCAATATTTGTCACCATGGTAGCAATTCTGCTGCTGCAAGTGTAATGAGAGAGTAGATGGCTGATTACTAAACAATGTTCCAAACTTAAAGTCTGGCATTACACACATAAGTACAAAGATGACAGACGGATATTTTGCCAAAAGCAGTATAACATCACTCATGCAGTTGTCATATTAGGGTGGAGTCTTTCAAGCAGAGGAAACCGGTCTACTCTGAGAAGAAGCAAGGTGCTTCAAAATGTTGAATGCAGACCATCATGGCTGGCAGGGCAAGAATGTCTCTACTAAAAATACAGAAATTAGCTGGGCATGGTGGTGGGTGCCTGTAATCCCGGCTACTCAGGAGGTTGAGGCAGAAGAATGGCTTGAGCCTGGGAAGTGGAGGTTGCAGTGAGCCAAGATCTGTCATCGCACTCCAGCCTGGGCAACAGAGTGAGACTCTGTCTCCAAAAAAAAAAAAGGAAAAAGAAAAACATCCATGTCGGGTATACATGGTGATGCACTATCCAGACCCTCCTTCAATGAAGGACTTGTGTCCTCAGTGGCTGAGAATGCTGCCCACGGAAAGCTTTCAGCTGGGAGTGAGTTTGGCAATTGCACCAGCAGCAAAGACAGACTGTGCAAGGCTTTCGGGTTAAAGTATGCAGTTTTGACTTCTGTCCTTAGTAATGAGAAGCCACTGAAACAGTTTAAGCTGAGGAGTGACTTGGTCAGATCTGCACTTTGTAAAGGTCACTGTGGTTGCTGTGAGAAAAAATATTTGAGAAGGTAGTTGTTAATATGTGACCTTATGTAATTCCTGCCTTTTGCTGCAAGATCTATAAAATGAGATTAGGGAAGATGTTTTGAAAGACATGTTCCCATTAGAAATATCCATGTAGAGAGATCGATCCAAGATGGCCGTTTAGGAACAGCTCAGGATAGCAGCTCCCAGTGAAAGCGCAGAGGGTGAGTGGACACCGCATTTTTATTGCCCACAGACTAGGAAATTCCCAGGTGGAGGAGCTCCACAGGTCGCCAGCATGGCTGTTTCGTCCAGCGTGGCTGTGCCGGCTGGCGCCGCTGCTTTGCCCCGCCCGACTGCTTTGTTGGCGCCCCAGAGCAGCGGTTCTCCATACAAAATACACCGGTCTGGGAGCCCTTTTGGCTGGCGATTGGAGCCACGTGAAGTTGCCCATTAGTCTGTTTAAAAAGAGAACTGAGCAGAGAACCAGGACAATAGATTCCAGGGCAAAAAAAAGAAGCGCCACAAATCTCAGTGCCGCTGTTTAAGCCAGCACAGTGAGTGGCCGCAGGGGAAAACAAACAGACCCCGGCACCTCTTCAACAGGCGACTGGAACACCAACTTAAAAAAGGCTCTGAGGCAGGGAGCCAGGCGATCAGGCTCGGCTGGTCCCACCCCCCACAAAAGAACAGCAATCAGAAACTCTCTGGATTGAGAGTTTCACAGTAAGCGCAGCTGAACCCAGGACGGTCCAGCTTTGAGGGGAAGGGGTGTCCGCCATTACCAAGGCAGCCCGCCATTACGGAGGTAGTCAGCCAATGCTGAGGCAGCCCGCTGTTGCCAAGGCAACCCGCCATTGCTGAGGCAGCCCGCCGTTGCCAAGGCAACCCGCCACTAGAGAGACTCCGCCTTAAAAGAGGCGGGCCACCCTTGCTGAGGTAGTTCTAACTACACCCATATAAACAGGACTGCAGGGAAGTTCACTCGGCAGCTGGGCGGAGCCCACAGCAGCTCAGCAAAGCCTCTACACGCAGACAGTGACTAGGCTGCCTCCTTGCTGGGCAGGGCAGCTCTGAAGGAAAAAAAAAAAAAGAAGGCCGCAGTATAACGGAAACTCATAAATAAAGCCCTAAATCCCTGGGACAGAGCACCTGGGAACAAAAAGCGGTTTATGAGTTCTGCTGCAGCAGACCTAAACGTACCTGCCCAGCAGCTCTGAATGAACAATGGAGCTCACAGCTCAGCATTTGAGCTCCTATAAAGAAGAGACGGTCTCCTCAAGCAGCTCCCTGATCCCTGTATATCCAAAGAGCCGCCTCATAAAGGAGAGATCAGACTGACATCTGGCAGGTACCCTTCTGGGACAAAGATAGCAGAAGAAGAAAACTGGTAACA